ACGTTGGGGGAAAAAAATTGCTGTTGAACAAATTTAATAAATTGCAATATATTTTTTCGCAATACTCAGCATATCGCAACAGGTTTTAAATCGCAATAATATTGTATCGTGACTAGGGTTGGAATCCGGATCTTTTTCAGAACGGGGTCCAAAGTTCCGGTTCCAGAACCGGTTCCATCACATTTGGAGTAACGGTTCCTGCAAACGGTTCCTAGATTGTAAAAAAAAAAAAAAAAACGTCACGTGCATTTCCATTAGAGTGCGGCACGGGCTGCATATTTCTGTCCGAACCCGACCGAGCCCGACATTATTGTTTAACAAAAGCACTGAGTTTGTGTCACACAGTTGTTACGGTTACAGGCTATTTAACAGGCCGGGCGTGCGCCGTGGGTGCTCAGCGGAGAGGGAGACCTCCGTGTTTGAGACGGGAGCGGGCGGCGGGAGGAAATATAACAAAATATGATAAAATAGGAGAAACCTGTCTCCCTCTTTTATTTAATTTTTAGCGTTTAATCAAGGCGGAGGCGGGTGGCGGGAGGTCCGAGACTTCCAGCGAGGGGAGCGGTAGAAACAAACAGACAGCGTGTGTGTGTGTGTTCTGTTTAGGTGTTGTCATGTAAATAACAGTGCCCAAGCATGAATGCATTTAAGTATTTTTTATTACATTGCTGTGGTTAATTTGAGGTAATAGTGTTACTGTAGAAATCAGATAATCACTTTTTGTTGTTATACAGTACAGGCCAAAAGTTTGGACACACCTTCTCATTCAATGCGTTTTCTTTATTTTCATGACTATTTACATTGTAGAGTCTCACTGAAGGCATCAAAACTATGAATGAACACATGTGGAGTTATGTACTTAACAAAAAAAGGTGAAATAACTGAAAACATGTTTTATATTCTAGTTTCTTCAAAATAGCCACCCTTTGCTCTGATTACTGCTTTGCACACTCTTGGCATTCTCTGGATGAGCTTCAAGAGGTAGTCACTTGAAATGGTTTCCACTTCACAGGTGTGCCTTATCAGGGTTAATTAGTGGAATTTCTTGCTTTATCAATGGGGTTGGGACCATCAGTTGTGTTGTGCAGAAGTCAGGTTAATACACAGCCGACAGCCCTATTGGACAACTGTTAAAATTCATATTATGGCAAGAACCAATCAGCTAACTAAAGAAAAACGATGGCATTTGCTAAAATCAACCACGGCACTCCAAAAACAACCAATTACAGCAGAAGAGTCTCTCATGCAGCTGCATTGCATGATTCTCCCCTCGAATGTTTTAAAAACACATTTTAGTGCACTGTTTAGCTGGAAATAGGAAAATTTGTGATCCGGCTGCCATGTTGAAAATAGTCAAATTAAGCACCACGCACCGGCTGCATCAACTGGGGTCTAGGTACCATGTCTGAAGGGTCCCTTTTGGTTCCAAAGGTACAATACCAAAAGTGTTTGGTGTAAAACAACGCTTTTGTTACGTGTTGTCTCATATCCCTCTCCGTTCATTTCCTGTCACCTCTCTCCTAAAGGCAAAAAGGTCCCAAAACACATAAAAAACAACAGTATTCGATACTCTGTGTGTAATTGTTTTGCTACCAAGCCTCAGTGACCATTTCTGTTGCTGAGAGACAAGCCAGTGTTCATGTTAGTGAAGAAAGCCACATTTCTAAACACAAACTCTTTTATATCCTTGAACTGAGTTGTTCTGTGAATGAAAGGCACATAAAACTTTTTTTTTTCCCCGACTCAGAGGCCCTCGCAGTTAAACCTTCACACTGTCACAATAATAAACACAGTATGACGGAGCTCGCAGGCCGCAGAAGTCTGCTACTATTTACAACCGACATAACATGTTTAGCCTCGTTTTCTCAGCGGACCTTGGCAAGCAGAGGTCAGCTTTAACCATGCCATTCCTGACCAGTGTTTCACAGGCTGTTTTTAGAAGCATGAGCCCCTCCAAAAAAAAAAAAAAAAAAGGCCCAGAAGTGTGTTTGAGCCCAACGTGGAGAGGAGGAGTGGAGAGACGGGAGCAAAGGCAAAGGTTTTGGCTCTGGAGGTCACAAACCAAAACCAAGAAAGGCCCACCCCGCAATCTAGCTGCAAAAATAGACGAATCTATGCCAATTTCCAGAAGAATAAGATGGAAGAAATGCAGCAAGGGGAATTATTGTGTTAACCTTAGAGTCTTAAATTTCTGTAATAGTTAGTTTTAATCTAACTGGTTTGAGACTATAGGAAAAACTGCAGAGGTTTGTGCTGCGGGTACAACATGTGATTCAGAGCCTAACAAATCACAGATAAATGCTCTGCTGGGATCAACAGTTGTAGCCCCGCTCTCAAACCTGCGGGGTAAGTGTGCGTGCGTGCATGGGTGTGCATGCAGTGGAGGTAAATGGCTGTAGCAGGCGATTATTTGCACCGCTTCACGCCTGTGAGCCTAGATCTCCCCCTCCGGCACAAAGCATGTGTCACAGAGGGCGATCACACACATTCATCACTCCTGTCCCTCAGGAACACAGCAACACACACACACAGAAAATCACAAAGTGCATATTTATCACTTCCGTCTCAAGGGGACAAGTTCACACATAAGGTGGACGTCATTCACTGGCCGAAAAAACAACAAACACACACATGTGAAACGTCACATGTGCAGGAGACAGGCCTGGGTGTGGCCCTGTGTGTGCACTAAGTGACCTCGTAAATCAGGTGGGAGCCGGCAGCAGCTGTTCCCTGGGGGCCCGAGGTCACATTGATTCAGCTGGTGGCTACTGGCTCTGCTACCATCTATCAGCTCCCCCACTGTCCTACATTTACCCTCCGCCTCAATTAGCCTTCTTCCCCATCCTCCTCTTTAACGGCCCTGCCTCCACCCCCTTCAACTTCCATATCTCCCGACATCCTCTCTTTCACTCCGCCCTTGCCTCCCTTCCTGTGTCCATTTCCCTGATTAAACTGATGCCGAGGCTCTCCAGCTTCACTGTGGAGTCCGCGCGGTCAGCCTCCTCTCCTTCAGATGAAACGGGGGGAACTCTGCTTGATCCAATCAGTGTGTGATGTGCAGCCCGTCGATCATGCACTGCACGGAGCAATAACAAGCAGCAAGCTCTTCATGTATGTTGATGTATTTAAGCATTCCCCTCATTATATTCATACCTCTGCTTCAGGTTTGCTACACAAGGCTTCAGGATTTACTTCACTCTGTCTCTTTGGGACCTCACTGACTCACAGCGGATTTAAACTTCTGAGGCATCTCTCCCTCTGGCCTGTCAGCATCTCAGGTCAAGTGATCCCTGAGTAATTTACATAGATCATGTGAGATTGCTTGTTGAAGCTCTTTCATATGACCGTCTGCATTAAACAAGGAGAGGTGCAACAACAGCCTGATGTTCTAATACAGGAAAGATGAACGGGTGAATAATGTTGTGTAGCTTGCATTATTAAAGCAGATTGGTTAATGAATTTTAAGAGAGCACACTGCCCTCAAACCACACACACGGACACACCATCATCCCCTTTATTAAACCATCATAAGCTACAAATCTGGTTACAGCAGTGTACTGCTTTCAAGGTACACCATGGTGTGAACATTGACAGTTACCATACTATGTAGATTTGCTTTGCTATTAGGGGAGGGCGAACAAATAAGCAATATCATATCATCACACAGTGCCAAGTATTGATTTTTTAATTATATAAATATAAATATTACAAATTAAACTTCAGGTAGCCTACTAGAATGATATAATCAATTGCCTTTTCAGTCCTCTAAATACATTTTGCTGCAAAATGAAAAATAAAAAAAGGTAATAAATCGCAATGTATCACAATGTTTTACCGCGATACTCAGCATATTGCAACATATTTAAAATCACAATAATATTGTATCGTGTAAAGTATCGTGACAATATTGTATCAAGGATCCTCTGGTGATTCCCACCCCTCTTTTCTATAGTACTGACCTCAGCTTTATTTTAGTTATTTTCAACTAGTAACTTAAAATGGCTGCACGTGTCGATTAAAGTAATAAAACGTTTGCTGGAAATGAAAAAAATGTTTTTGTTCCTTTAAGGGTCAATGTATCTGATAATAATTTTGTAATACTGTAATAACACGATATTTTCTAAGACAGTTATCCTACCGTGAAAGTCGCACACTGTTCCAACCCGACAATAACAATTACTTTAAAGAACATAATTTAAGATAGCACATTTTGAAGCTCGAATGCTCGATGCGTGATACTGGATTTTTTGCCGATATGTAACAACTTATTTGACTGATAACTGATACTGACATATCCACTTTTACGTAATTTTAGACAAAATGAAGTGAACCCCAAAGCCTTTGTAATGTTGTGATACCACAATATTTTCTGAGAACGTTATCGTACCGTGAAAGTCCCGCATCATTGCATCCCTTCAACAACTTTTGAAAAACATTATTTAAGCTAGCCTGTTTTGAAGCTTGCATGTTATTAAGGATGCACGATATTTGATTTTTTTGCTGATATCCCATACGCTCAGTTGTAACAACTCATTTGACCAATAACCACAACTGATATCGATATATTTTCCTCTACATAATTTCAGTGATCGCCAAGTCTCTTCTGTAGTAAATTAGCATCATACTACACATGCATACTCTTATCGTGATGGCCCACCAGCAGATGGAGACATTAAATACTTTCCAATGTATGTAATATTTGTACATTGTGCACCATAAGAAAAAACATGTTGGCCGATTCTAATAGTTCATTTAAATGCCGATATCGGCCGATACCGATGATGTACCGATGTTATTGTTCATCCCTCCTATGCTGCATAATTATACCAAGTGATATCTTAACATATACACCACACATTAATTTTTGAGTGCCATACAGGAATATTTAAATGTTGCTACAAGTGATAACAAGTACCCTGTAGTACCTCTGCATCAGTGTAAAGTTACTGTCCATGACACAGACCTCTACAGACATATAAAATAAAGTGAATCTTATTTACCTTGGCGCTGTGGTTTTATTTCCGAGGCGACATACAGAAGAAGTGAGCGAGCTTTTCCTCCTCAGCAGCTCCCAGTGATGATCCTCCACACTGCAGCACAGACAGACAGACAGACAGACAGCAGCAGCAACTATCTGCCCTGTTGGCACCGGGGGCCACTTTCTCCTCCGACTAAAGTCACGGCAGATTTCCCCTGCTGCTCATTCCCTCCTCAACTTTCCTCCACAGAGAAAATGTACACAGTTAATATTAAAACCAAATGTGGGAACAGTATGGTGGCTGGAGAAGGAAACAAAATCCCAGCAGCGCCTCTGTGAACCTCTTCTCCTCGGTCTAATTCAGGGTAAAGCGGAGAGGCGAACCCGCAGAGCTCCGCTCCTCCTGCCTGAACATCACTGCTGCCGAGACAACGGAACACGCACCACCTCCGGTTGTGACCTTCAAAATAAAACTCGGACGCCAACTACATGAAGCATTTAAAAACTCACTCTATAATTCATTTTATTAGTCTGTTCACACTTAGGAACATAAAAAATTATGCCTATTTTAATATACATATCTAAGGTTTATTTAAAGCATAATTACTGCAGACTGTGATATAAATACAGTATTTACTTACCTGCCACTTCAGGACACACGGCGATTAAAATGCAAACACTCACAGCAAACACCAAAAAATCTGCTACATTGATACTGTTAGCTTACACATAAACACCTACAATAAATATATTGATAAAGACTGAATATATAGCGTACTGTGAAAACAATCAAATGAGAACAAACACTCAAAGAAGGCTTACAACCTATAGGCGAACACATAAAATGGATTAACTGGAAATTGGTGATAATTCATGCAAACACACACACTGCATAATCATTTATAGCTACTGTCAAATGTTTAGAAATGTATAAAATTTCAAGTGGTTTTATTTTGAAGGCAGCTACAAACCATTTCCTGTTTTATTTCTGCCGCTTTAAAGCTTACCCTTCTACTGACGTCACTGCAAGAGGACACGCCCACTCACAGAGCTGCCTATTTATACAGATGCTGGCAACATGTCTCTGTAATAATACATCAATCTGTAACTTCATCAAAATGGTGTTTGTCATCATCATCATCATCATCAATGCACTGCACATTTATATAAACAGAAACAACATTAATGCAATTCTGCTGCCATTTATCTTAATGATTCAAATTCAAAATTCAAGAAGTTTACATGCACAGTAAAAACACAGTGGTTCACACCATACCATGAAATTCTTAGATGCCAGTCTCCTTTTACTCAAAACAATAATAAAAATAGAGATTAGAGTTAGATTTTAAGACAAACTAAATCAATAAATATAAGCAGAAACAAAGAACTAAGTTAAAACCCTGAGTAAAAAGCAAAGTACACTGTGCTGTCATGCGACATCTATGTTATATAAAAGTTATCCCATTTAAGCATCTCTTACAGTTTTTTTTCCTCACGATGGTGTGACGTTTCTTTAGAAATTACCACAAAAGTATTACAAGAAAATCCAGTCCAACCCTGAGAGTAACAGTTCGTGTAAATCACTTCAGTGCTGACAGTACTTATTAAATAATGCCTCCTGAGGTGCATTAGCCTAAGTAGTGTTGGTTGTCTATAAATATACTGAAAGAAAGAGACAACCAACACGACAATAACAACATATAGTTCATCAGATCACACTCTGCCTTTTAATTTTATTTATTCCTTATTCCTCCATTTATTCCTCCTTAATTTTTTTTTCTTCTTTAAAATTTAGGTCCATGTATTTTGTATTAATATATTGTTGTTAATAGTTTCTGAATTTCATAAATTGTAATAGTGCTTTGGCAACACATATGAAATACCGATAAAGCTTATTGAATTGAATTGAAAAGAAGAAGCAGACAAGTCTTGTCATCGAGCATAGGTAGTCAGAAGCTCCGCAGTATAACTTGGTGCTAAACCTTGAGCTTTAAGTTATTAAAAGAATCTCAAAATCACTTCTGAAGTTAACTGGCAAACAGTGGAGGGAGGCGAGAACTGGGTTGATATGAGACCTATGATTTGTCCCAGTTAAAATACAAGCTGCAGCGTTCTGCACTGGTTGAAGCCGAGCTACTGAAGATTTACTGAGGCATGTAAACAGTGTAGTCGAGGTGCGAGAATATAAAGCATGAATAAGCTTTTCTAGGTCAGAAAAAGACAAAGCCGATTTGGTTATGATAATATCTCTCAGGTGGAAGTAGCAGAATTTAATGAGATTATTGACATGTGGTTCATCTGAAAAAGTGATGCCTAAGTTTCTCACTTTAGATTTTATATTGGTCGCCAGAGGACCAATAAAGGGTTGTAATTTCCTTGCTAAGTGATCAGGGCCAAAGATAATTACTTCTGTCTTGTCTGAGTTTAGCTACAGAAAATTGCAAGTCATCCATTTCTTAACAGCAGTGAAGCACTCCATCAAAGTGTTCAGACAGTTAACATTATCTGGCTTAAAGGACAAGTAGATTTGGGTGTCATCAGCGTAACAGTGGTATGACACCCCATTGAAATAACTGATAATACATCCTAATGGAAGCATGTAAAGTAAAAACAAACATGATTCAAACCATTTAAGAGCAGTTCAAGACATACAGTACAGGCCAAAAGTTTGGACACACCTTCTCATTCAATGCGTTTTCTTTATTTTCATGACTATTTACATTGTAGATTCTCACTGAAGGCATCAAAACTATGAATGAACACATGTGGAGTTATGTACTTAACAAAAAAAGGTGAAATAACTGAAAACATGTTTTATATTCTAGTTTCTTCAAAATAGCCACCCTTTGCTCTGATTACTGCTTTGCACACTCTTGGCATTCTCTCCATGAGCTTCAAGAGGTAGTCACCTGAAATGGTTTTCCAACAGTCTTGAAGGAGTTCCCAGAGGTGTTTAGCACTTGTTGGCCCCTTTGCCTTCACTCTGCGGTCCAGCTCACCCCAAACCATCTCGATTGGGTTCAGGTCCGGTGACTGTGGAGGCCAGGTCATCTGCCGCAGCACTCCATCACTCTCCTTCTTGGTCAAATAGCCCTTACACAGCCTGGAGGTGTGTTTGGGGTCATTGTCCTGTTGAAAAATAAATGATCGTCCAACTAAACGCAAACCGGATGGGATGGCATGTCGCTGCAGGATGCTGTGGTAGCCATGCTGGTTCAGTGTGCCTTCAATTTTGAATAAATCCCCAACAGTGTCACCAGCAAAACACCCCCACACCATCACACCTCCTCCTCCATGCTTCACAGTGGGAACCAGGCATGTGGAATCCATCCGTTCACCTTTTCTGCGTCTCACAAAGACACGGCGGTTGGAACCAAAGATCTCAAATTTGGACTCATCAGACCAAAGCACAGATTTCCACTGGTCTAATGTCCATTCCTTGTGTTTCTTGGCCCAAACAAATCTCTTCTGCTTGTTGCCTCTCCTTAGCAGTGGTTTCCTAGCAGCTATTTGACCATGAAGGCCTGATTGGCGCAGTCTCCTCTTAACAGTTGTTCTAGAGATGGGTCTGCTGCTAGAACTCTGTGTGGCATTCATCTGGTCTCTGATCTGAGCTGCTGTTAACTTGCGATTTCTGAGGCTGGTGACTCGGATGAACTTATCCTCAGAAGCAGAGGTGACTCTTGGTCTTCCTTTCCTGGGTCGGTCCTCATGTGTGCCAGTTTCGTTGTAGCGCTTGATGGTTTTTGCGACTCCACTTGGGGACACATTTAAAGTTTTTGCAATTTTCCGGACTGACTGACCTTCATTTCTTAAAGTAATGATGGCCACTCGTTTTTCTTTAGTTAGCTGATTGGTTCTTGCCATAATATGAATTTTAACAGTTGTCCAATAGGGCTGTCGGCTGTGTATTAACCTGACTTCTGCACAACACAACTGATGGTCCCAACCCCATTGATAAAGCAAGAAATTCCACTAATTAACCCTGATAAGGCACACCTGTGAAGTGGAAACCATTTCAGGTGACTACCTCTTGAAGCTCATGGAGAGAATGCCAAGAGTGTGCAAAGCAGTAATCAGAGCAAAGGGTGGCTATTTTGAAGAAACTAGAATATAAAACATGTTTTCAGTTATTTCACCTTTTTTTGTTAAGTACATAACTCCACATGTGTTCATTCATAGTTTTGATGCCTTCAGTGAGACTCTACAATGTAAATAGTCATGAAAATAAAGAAAACGCATTGAATGAGAAGGTGTGTCCAAACTTTTGGCCTGTACTGTACCTACACACTGATTTAAAGGGAATTTATACCTCTGCGTTGAATCGACACTGTAGCTACAACGTGCACCTCCCCAGAAATGTAATTACATGTCGCGGCAACGCAGACCTCCTGTCTATTTCTGTAAGCTGAAACCATTTCCCTCAGTGGAAACAAAGCTTTTATTTACTTTAATTTCTCAGATAAGAAACAATAAATTGTGGAGACAGTAAAGCTTCCACAAAAATAACATTTTAAGTCTTGTGTGTGATTTATCCTGGCTTCATATGAGCACAGGAAATCTCAGCTTGTCGCTAAGCTAATTTATACAACGTAAAATGCCATAGGCTTGTGCTAATGACATTAGCATGTTGTATTTGTGGGGATAATGTGTCCATCAAAAGTGTTTGTCTGTGAATGCTGCAAGTTATAGTCAAGCTGATTTGTGTACTTGTGTTTGAATTTGTCTCTATTAAGCCATGTTTAATGTGTGTTTAATGTGTGTTTAGAATCAACTAAACTTGACAGCACTTCACTAGGGTTGGGATCCGGATCCGGTTCTTTTTTGGAACCGGGTCCAAAGTTCCGGTTCTGGAACTGGTTCCATCTCATTTGGAGTAACGGTTCCTGCAAACGGTTCCTAGATTGTAAAAAAAAAAAAAAAAAAAAAAAACATCACATGCATTTCCATTAGAGTGCGGCACGGGCCACATATTTCTGTCCAAACCCGACCGAGCCTGACATAATTTAATTACTAAAGCACTGAGTTTGTGTCACACAGTTGTTACGGTTACAGGCTATTTGACAGGCCGGGCGTGCGCCATGGGTGCTCAGCGGAGAGGGAGACCTCCGTGTTTGAGATGGGAATGGGCGGCGGGAGGTCCGAGGCTTCCAGCGTGGGGAGAGGGAGAAATATAACAAAATAAGATAAAACAGGAGAAACCTGTCTCCCTCTTTTATTTAATTTTCAGCGTTTAATCAAGGCGGAGGCGGGCGGCGGGAGGTCCGAGGCTTCCAGCGAGGGGAGCAGTAGAAACAAACAGCCAATGTGTGTGTGTGTTCTGTTCAGGTGTTGTCACGTAAATAACAGTGCCCAAGCATGAATGCATATAAGTATTTTTTATTACATTGT